CTTGTGCCTATTACCTTTCGTTTTTACATTGCTTAATATTTGTGTGGTTTTTAGTACAAGCAATTATATCAAATTTAGGACTGTTTTGAGTAAGTGCTAAACTAATTTTGACTATAGTACAATCGTTGATTGTACAAGGAAACTAGAGCAAATTACTCAAAGCGGAACTCACTTGTAGTGCTCTGCACTCCAAGTGTTTGATAACTGAATGAAAAGCCTTGTGTGTTGTCCATTTATTGTGGTAATATTTTAAGGCATTGGAACTAGTCATACCACATTGTGAGCTAAATCAAATTGAGAGTGTGACTAGCGTAGTGATTCTCATTACTCGTTATCCGATTCCATCGGCTAAAACGCATATCTGGTTTTCTAGTAACCGTTTGTTATAGACGGTATTCTTCTAGCCCGCTTCCACAAGTCAAAAAAAAATTTTAAAACCATTTTATTGGTAGCGCCGACTTATTTTTTAACAAGGGATCTATTCAACCCCCCATTCTAGATCCGTGCCAACGTCTAACAAGAGATACTGCCCACCACTCAGTTTAGTTGTGCCAATCATCCTCTTTCAGCATATATCTTGTATAATACAATTAATTTCATTAAAAATTAGTTGACATTTAAGGGTTTGGGCCAGTTTAGGAACATATATGAGATTTGTTTGGGCTAGTTTAGGAACATATATGAGATTAAAAGCAAAGTTAGGCATGTAAAACACATATGTTATATAGAAATGATGATCAAATTTGATGGTTCCTACAAAACAAGTGGTCACCAAATCTCCATTTGGTAATTTGATGGTTATAGTTTTGATTATCTTTAAGCACTAAAAAATCTCGGTGTAGCATACATGGTCATTTACACTAGTGTCTAAGATAAAAATTTCATATCTAAGTGTGTTAGGTATAATGCATATGATACTTATGGCTACATTAGGTTTTTGATGTTAAATGGTTAACATTATGAGGCTATAAATAAGATGATCCGTGTAGAAGTGCTAACAAAACCTTGTGTTGATCTAGTGTAAAATCCATAAAACCAAAATCTTATTCATTTTCTTCATTGAATTCAGCTTGAGAGTCGACTGCCTTGTTTGCTACAGTTGTACAATTGTTGATTGCACCATTCTGATGTCAATGAAGAGGAAAAACATGTTTTTTGAACCTAGAATTAATTGTATGATTAGTCATTTTATAATGAGTTCAAATTCGTGTGGCTCTACCTCTTCCACCAAGAAATCTACTACCTCTTGTGCCTCAACCATTGGAACTAGGTCTGCCTTTGTATTGTGAATTATGATTGTGACTAGGAAAAGCAAGAACTTTGGATTCATCAAGTGGTATGGCTTCTCGTCTTTCTTGTTTAACAAGTAAAGAATAAATTTTGCAGATATTTGAAAGAGGGTCTATCAACATGATTTTTGACCTAACTGCTGAATGTTGATCATTTAAGCCTTTGAGAAATATGATGACTTGATCTCCATCTTTGTATGCATAAATTTTTGTAATTGCTTGACAATAAATATTTCAAGTGCATTCAAGAATTGGACGAAAATTGTCCAATTCTTTCCACAATTTCTTCAATTTTGTATAGTAAGAAAAGATAGAAGAATTACCTTGCTTCAAGGTGCAAATTCCTTCTTGAATGTCTGAAATTCTGAAAACATCTCCTTGATAAAAATTATTCTTCAATTCATTCCACATCTTAGTTGCGCTTTCCATTCACAAAATTCTTCGAGCAACTTCTGATTCAACTGAATTGTTGATCCATGACATAATCATGGCGTTGCACCGATCCCAAGCGATAGAGTTGTGATGTTCATCAGGTGATTGAGGAAAAATGCCATTGATGAAATGTAGTTTATTCTTTGATCAAAGAAACATAGTCATTAAATGAGACCAAGAATGATAATTGTTGCTTAAGCGTAATGGAGAAATAATAACCAAAGTTGGATTTTCATTTATGTGCATGAAGTATGGAATAAGGGTATTAGTTTGACAACCTTTGTTTACATGTGAGGAGAATTTAGCATTAATGCTGCTTGTAGAGCTTGCAATAAACGTGTTGAAATAAAGATGAAAGAAAGAAAATTGAAGGAATCTTGATGGAAGATGATGAAGAACTGAGATTACTGAGTAAAATTACGTGAATGCAACAAAAAAGCTTAATCACAGGTCGATGATATCATGTTAAAACTCAAGCTTTACATGAACAATCATTGAGATAAAGAGACAAGAATAGTATCCAAGCTTTTCATTACTCAAAAATCTAGTTTCATACAAGGGCGATATGTTACTTATATATCAACTAACTCCAACTAATTAATAACACCTTGATAACTACACCATAAGTGTTTTTCAAGTTGGTTATTTACAATTGTGATTTTCTATTCCCGATCTTAACTACTTTCTCTTTCTTCTCATCAAATTTAACAGTCATTATTTATCACCAAATCAGAAACCAACATTGTTTGCACACGATCTATTCCAACTGAACCCTACTACTTGTACCAACCTTTAGAGTCATACCGAGTCCTCTTCCAAGAGATCACTGACCCTTATAGGTTTATCGATGACTTTAACGAAACCATTCTCTCAAGTGATCAACAATAAGACATTTTCACCCCTTCATTGGCAACTATTTTTGCAAATTTAGTGGATACTTGTAATCTTTTGAATTTGATCTTGATAGGAGGCCACTTTACTTGGCATCGTAACAATCATGGCCATAAAATCTTCTCCACAAAATTGGATTGTGGTCTAGCTTTAACTAATAAAGTCTTCTCAATTGTAAAAACATACTTGATGAGTCACCCCTATAAAATAGAGGTGTGAATGACACTCCACATTTGACACGTCATTGACCTCGTCCCATCTAGGCATGATAATGGGGTGGTTCGGGGACGGGTTTTACCTCCCCTTAATCCAAACAATCTCCAATATCTCCCCTAAACCCAAACGGAAATGGAGAATTAAGACTCAAACCCGACGTAAACGGACTCAGGTTTTCCCGCTCCGTCACCATCCATTTAGTTAAATCAATTTTTTTAATAGGAAATTTTATTTTTTCCTATATCAAATTACATTACAAATAATAAAATAAAATAATCTCAAAAAATTTCATACATATATTTCAAATATTTAAATGATAAATAAAAATAAAAATATAAAAACATTAGCCCCATATTTAATATTTTAAATTATCAAAACTAAATAATAATATACATAATAAAATGAGTTTGGGGGCGAGTTTTTTGTGGGTACTAATGTCTCAATTATCTGACTCATTCTCATATTTTATAATCGAAAAAAAACTCAAACCCAATCTCAAACTCAATCAAAGCAGATTTTTCCGGTCAACTTTAGGACAAATTCGAGTGGATACCCATAGATATAAGTTAGGCAACAATATTGTTTATCTCCTTTAAGTTATTTTAAAATAACAAGTTACTCCTTTAAGTTTTTTTTTTGTAACGTTTTGGTCCTTTATATTAACAAACGTTTGCGTCGTTGCCCTTTTTAAAAATTTTTGTTACAAAAACGGATATGTGACACAAACGGAGCACATGCGGCATTTAACTAAAATGAGTTGACATTAAAGGTTGCTAATTTGCCTTTTGTCTGGTTGTTTCCTACATTTATGGATTTCGAAACTTTAAAACTTAATACATTTCAAGAACACTCATGAGTTTATAAACACAAAAATGGCAAAACTCTGAATCTCAACAATAAATTGCAAACTCATATACCATTTGAATTGATTTTTCGCGTTGATCACGAATATATAATTAGTTTTGCGTTTGATTCTGTATTTTGGTCGGATCGAACAATTTTTCATTATGTATTTCGTCCACTTTTTTCTTTGATTCTCATGAACCATAACTTGTCTGATAAATTTGATTGCACATTTGGATTCAGGATGAAAATCCAAGTCTAACCGTATATAATTTGTAATATATTTCATTGTTTTTATTATTTCAAAATTTTTACTCATTAATATTGTTAAATATGATGAACATTTCATGAGCTCATCATAAACACAAAAATGGCAAAACTCTGAATCTCAACAATAAATTGCAAACTCATATATCATTTGAACTAGTTTTTCGTGCTGATCACGAATATGTAATTAGTTTTGCGTTTGATTATGTATTTTGGTCGGATCGAACGATTTTTCATTATATATTTCATCCTGTGTTTTTCTTGATTCTCATGAACCATAACTTTCTCTTGTCTCGCAGCTTTCTCTCCAATTGTACCTTTCGCACGCGGCCTCCACCAATCGCCTTGGGTCAATGTTTCTCGAGGTCGACAGTATATAATTTGTAATTTATCTCATTGCTTTTGTGATTTCCAGATTTTTGCTCATGAGTATGGTTAAATATGACGAAAATTTGTGAAAATGATGAACATGTGTGATTTTCAAATTTTCAAATTTAAAATCAACATCCTTCAATGCCAATTCATCTCAGTTAGATGACACATGTGTTCCGTTTGTACCACAAATACGTTTTTGTAACCAAAAATTTTAAAAAGTACAATGATGCAAATATTTGTTAACATAAAAGATCAAATTATTAAAAAAAAAAAGTTAATTTATTATTTTAAAATAAATTAAAAGACTTAAACAATATTTTTTTTTTGTCTATAAAATATGTTGCGATGCCTAATCCCATCTCTGCTCCAAGATTAGACATTACTTAAGTAAGGGTCGAATCCATTGCCATTTATTAAATCTGATTATATTACCTTTAAGTCAATATTTTCCTTAAGAAATAAATTTGCAATATAATTTAACCACACTAATAATTTTTAATCTTATATTTTGTAATAATTGGATATGGTTGGATAAAAATATCACATAACCCACATGACATGACCATGACTCGGAGCAGAATATGCTGAGCATGTGCTCCATCACATGACAACAACACGCAATAAAGAAAGCATAAAAGAAAGAAACCGTTGTGATCATGAAAACGACAATCTGATTGATACACCCATATGGCAACATCAACGAACAAGGAAATCTATTCCGTGTGGGCGATCCCACCGGAAGACGTATGCGACCGTCTCGCCCGCCTCATGACCACCCTCGGATCCGAATTCCGTGGTCCCCATTTCGAACCACACATGACCGTCGTCGGAGCAATAGAATTAACCCCCGACGACGCGCTCAACAAACTCCGATCAGCTTGTGACGGTGTTAAAGCTTTTCAAGTCACCGTTGACCGTGTTGCCACCGGTACCTTCTTTTATCAGTGTGTTTATCTCCTCCTTCATCCTACGCCTCAGGTTTTCTTTCTACTTTTCTCCTTTTTCTTCACTTCTTCTGCAAATTTGGAACCAAAAAGGGATTGAATCGATTATACCGTTTTTGTGATGTAAATTAGTTTTTTTGCAGATAGTGGAGACCAATGCACACTGCTGCAGCCATTTTGGTTATGCGAATTCAACTCGTAAGTTACACATTTTACTCCTCCTATCAATTTTTTCATCGGTTGATTATTGGGGGTATATATAGATTATTTGTTTGGCTTTCTGCGACATTGTTGGCTTTTCTGTAGCTAATACTACTAGGTAGGGTACTTTAGAAGATCAACAATATGATACTTATCATTAGAGCTTGAAACCAAGTTCAACTCATAAGCATTCTTTCATGTTTTAGCTGGACTCTGGCAAACATTACTACTGTGATGTTTCTTGATAGTGTGTGTTTGGTTCTGCGGTCATGAGAACTGATTATGACTGAACTGATTTTGTAGGATTGATTTGGTTAAAGTGAGTTGAATGTAAAGTGATTTATAATTGGAAATTGGTGAAAGTGACTTAAACAACAAATTTCAGTGTGAAAATCACATTAAGCTCAAACTACAAATCCTAGCTTCAATTAGAATGAGTTCTAGAAGAATAATCAATTTTACTTTTGAGAAAATAAACATGTCAAAATCAATTCAAAATCAATTTTACAACTCTAAAATTGTTTTTGGCTTTTCCATAATAGAAACTAAACATATACTTAGTTTTTTATGCCAAGAAATGTAGGATGTCAAAAATGTCTTAATGTCATAGCAACAGGATAAAAATAGACTCTTTTAAATAAGCTATTTAAGAGAGAAAATAATAGATGATAAGATTGCGAAGGGGATTGGATGGTTGGTAAATATATTAGATTAGAATTTGTGTTTTTATCTATATTTGATGCATAGTTAGAGTAGAGTAGAATTATAGAACAAGCTATAATGTAGGAAATGCGTATATTCTGATAAGTTGAATCAAATCAAATAGAATATAATAAAACAGACTGTTATGCCGCGTTCTATTCCTGTGTCAAAGGCTGACTGCAGAGGAGCCTTTGAGAATCAACTAGCAAGGAGCTTGGTTCTCCTCTGACAAAGTCTTGAATTTCAGTTTTGTGAACGGTAAATATAGATGTTTGAGAGAATTTTGTCACCTTCACATGTTCACTTTACTTAACCTAGATTAGTCGGGGCCCAATGTGATTTTTGAATATCCAAAGTCTAGACCAAAAAACTCACGTTAAAGAACAATGTGCTGTTTCAATCACAATATGGTATGAAATGCTAGTAAATCAGTTTGCATTGCGAAAAAATTCATATTGCTGCCTTGCTGAATCAATAATAAAACTTTCACAAAAGAAATAAAAGCTTAGGTAAAACTTTGTTTTCTGATGGCTAACATTTGTCACTTAGAGGACACGTCTTTGTAAATTTTAAATTTGAATTCACTAAGAGTTGAATCTACTTTATCTTGGAACGTAAGTTGTTATCAGAGTATCGGCTATTTCGATGGGAGATGATAATTTGCATATCCAGAAGCGATAGTCACCTCTGAAAACCCAATTGACTTAGTGTTCTAAAATCAAAGAGCCTCCTTAGTTTGCAAGTGTTAATGATTTGTGTAGCAATAGCATTTGGGTAAAACAATAAAAATTAGTCTTGATAGATGAAAAACTCTCGCAGCTTTAATGGTACGAGGGAGATGCATAAATCATGGGTTATTAACTTTTTATCTTGTTTCAATTTGCAGCTTACATGCCACACGTGAGCCTTCTGTATGGAGATTTGACTGATGAAGAGAAGCAAAAGGCTCAAGAAAGAGCTAATATTCTCGACGACACTCTCAGTGGTTTGAGCTTTCAGATAAATAGGTTTGCATTATACAAAACTGACACGAAAGACAAGACACTAAAATCATGGGAGAAAATTGCTGAATGCACTCTTACTCCAAACTAGCTTGCCGACAGTTAAACTATCACAAGCTGTTGTGTACAGCAAAATAAACAAACATATACCATCATTAACAGTCTTACATATTGTATGTTTTCTGCCAATGCATTCTATTCTTTTTATATTCTGTACACTGTAGTTACATTCTCAGTCTTTCTACTCTGTATGGTGTGAAAATTACTCTAGTGCTGTAATAAGCCACCTCAGTTAACCACTTGTGAAACTCTGCATAACAGAGAAGCATCATGTGTAATACCACATTACTAATAAGATTTAAAACTTTCCATCATGAGAGGAAGAACTATTGAACTTTTGCCTATTATGTGATCCAACTGAGGAGTTGTCTCAGAGGACCCTAGCTCCTTTTCCACATCTTTTTTGCTCATTCAACTTGGACCCATCAACTAAAATGTATATAGTCTCTAAAGGAAAGGATGGCAGGACTGTGCTTTAAATGTGAGTTACAGCTTCTACCAATGCAATGATTATTTTAAGAAAAAGCGTGGGCTCACAAAACTTGAGTCACCCTAAAGTGAGTGGGTTCAAAACGAGAGATATGACCTCCTGTCCCAAAATTACTTATTCACTTGACCAATTTACATAAATTGAAAACCATGTAGAAAAGAAATAGAGAAAATAATACTTAGTTAAGCACTCTTATATTTTATATGTATATGGGCGAATTCATCTCTAATGTAAATGTGAAGAGGAAGATATTGAATTGGAAGAGATTCAGATTTTACTAATTAGAAGGCATAATTAAAATAAAGGTTAAATATGTTTTTAGCCATATAAAAAATTGAATTTTATTTTTGGTCCTTATAAAAAACATAATGTGTTTTTTTTCTTATAAAATAATTATGCATGTAGTTTTAGTCTAACTGTTAAATCAATATATATTTTTGAATGATTATTTTTAAGATATGTTTAGAATGCTATAAAAAGTTTCTCTAAAAAAAGGAATTCAAAATTTGATTTATAAGACAAAATTTTTATTATTTTTATCATTATCTTTTAAAATTTAAAAAATTTATATTTAATTTTTTTCATTTTAAAAAATTATATAATTTAGTAAAAAAACATTTTATAATAATTTGAACACGTATGAAAAAAAACTATTCAAAAATTTAAAAATTTAAAGATAATTAAATAACTTCTAAAATTTTAGAAAATAATAAGGATTAAAAGTGTATGTATAAAATTTTTGTAGAGATCAAAATATGTCTTTGTTTATGGGAACTAAAAATAAAATGTAAAACATTTATCGAGATTAAAAACATATTTAACCTTTAAAATAATAATAATTAATGTATTGATAATGAAAATAGAATTCAAGAATATTTGAGCTCGACGGTAAGGGATCTTTTAACTCTTAACCAAAGGTCTCTTGTTCACATCCAACTTTAGACACACAGTAGCATTATATTCTTGTCTATTCTGATTTTTTTCTTATTCAATGGATTATTGTCTGTAATTGTACATAAATATAATATCTGTTTATACTTAAAAAGAAAAATAGATCATTTATTTTAGAATCATTTTTATTTATGATTGAGTCAGTCATTTTGATATAGGGCGAGTATGTTATAGGGTTGAGTTCTTAGGTGTTAGTGGGATTCTAAAAATTCTCTATGCTCTCATCTTTACCTAATTACTAATCTAATAGTTGAAATTATCCGATATTTAAAAAAAAGTGTATTCGTGATGGATACCAGCATCACATTAATATTTATAATTATATTTAATTAATTTATTTTTTTAAAATTATTATCGATACTAATGATTGAGTAAGTCATTTTGATATAGAGAGAGTATGTTATAGGGTTGAGTTCTTAGGTGTTGTGGGGTTCTAAAAATTCTCTATGCTCTCATCTTTACCTAATTACTAATCTAATAGTTGAAACTATCTGATATTTAAAAATAAAAAAAAAAGTGTATTCGTGTCTATGTTAGGAGCGAATATCAACATCACATTAATATTTATAATTATATTTAATTTATTATATTTTTTTAAAATTATTATCGATATTAATATATCAGTATTAATATTGTGACTGTTATCTGTATGTGCTTTATAGGCCAAGTCAAATAACTTGTCCAATTCTATATCAATGAACTAGTTATTGATATTTAAAATGTAAATAGTGCCAAAGAATAGATTAAAAATTGTCTAGTGTGTTAAATCTATGTATAGGCTAAAAATTATATCCTTGAATCGATTTGTTAATAGAAATTTTCTTAATGTATTTTATATGATATTTACACATCACGCGAAAATATTAAAATATCTTAAAAATATAGAGATATATCTCCAACGTATGTCATTCTGAGTGACGCTCTATTAGTTGGATTTTTTTAAATCGGAGATGCATCTCTTGAATCCGCCCGTCGATGCGTTTTCGTAACGTGTACACAATTGTTTTAGAACCAGAAACTAAAAACTTGTAATTTGACAAAGTAAAATTAATATTCATAACATAAAATAAGCATTACATAGATTATTTCAACATAAAATGAAACATTACATTTCAATATCCTGGTGGATGCTTCAACATTTTTACAACATCTTCGATCGATCTTGAAATCGTCGCTTCTAACTCGAGTATAACTTTTGTTTCAAAATGGAATACATTATTCTACACAGCCCTTACATCTGCATTCGTCTTGAGCTCAAAGTTGTTGAACTCAATCTTCCCCTCGTTGTCAACCGACAGTGCACGGTACTCGAGCTTCACAATTTTTCGATTGTCTTCGTAAGATAGGAGATTATGGACTTCATATTTTAGATCTGCAAGAGAGGTGTACTCGTTGAGGTTAAACTTTTGCCTGAGTGTCGCGCTGGAGGAGACATTTGCGACATACTTGATGATGTTTATTTGTGACATTTGAGATATTTTTTGTTCCTGTGAAATAAAAAACCAGAGCCTCTAAATTTATAGAAGTTGTAGACAAATGTGGATCACAAAAATTCTGTCAAGCATTAGTGCTAGTTTAAGAGATACGTTTTTGAAACCACTCTATTGTCTTATTTTGGATATACATCTCTAGAATCTCTGTTGAACAGGCAGAAAACAGAATCTACATGATGACTTTGTTTGGAAAATGAACAAATGGTTTAGCAAAGATAAAAAAATATATTATATTATGTGGAAATTGAATATATTAACATTATTAATATTTAGACACAATTGCATACATTTATTTGTCCGGCTAAATAGAATATTAAAACGAATCAAAATATTTGCCGCCGACTAAATCTCTGGATAGTACCCCCTTTGAATTTTGTGCATTTGATTCTCTTTCAATGTTGCTCAATTTCTCGAACTCTTGCATCCTTTCCACAAAATGGTCCGCTCAAGTATCGACTTTTGTTGTTGAATGGGTCGTCCACTCTGGTTATGTAAGTGGTATAGGGCATCCTGGTTTCAAGTAAACTTGAACAAAATGTCGTAATTTTAAAAGTCACTCAATACATATAATACGATCTTTTGAATTTTGAGGGAACGGTGCATAATGACAAAAGGTTTCTGAAAAACTGTATCGTGTAAAGAGGTGGTTCGATAACCACAATTACCATCACCCTCAACATTGGCGATTCACTCGATGTAATTGTGCATAAAAATCGGCATCTCGTCAATGAATAAAATCTTTGGTGGAGGTGGCGAAGGAGGTGGTTTGCTAATGCGAGCTCTTTTGAAAATATTTTTTTTTTTAGATTTTGAAGTTAGTGAGTCCGAAAAAACTTTGTCAACATGTACAAAATATGAAGGAGACTTTGTCATCGAATTGACATTTAATGTAGGTTTGAGCTTTTCAGTAGAGGTAAACACCAACAATCTCCAATAATGGAAGTTTATACTTGTTGGTCTTGTACGTGTAATCAATTATAGAAATAGTAGGAAACATGTTGAACAACTTGATGGAATCATGATGAGCCCAAAATATATCTCTAATAGTTACTTCATCCTCGCAAGTTCGGTACCTAGACAGATAACTGTTATCATCCAACAATTTCAAGAGTTGTTGCATTTCAGTTATATCCCCCTCAGCTCCTTATTAGTTTGGTACCAAATATTGTACACTTGTTTAATATTTGAAATATTTTCTGGTCTTTTGCGTTTCAAGGTTGCAAGTATATTTTTCGGTTGAACCAAATTTAATATCATGTCAGCAACATATTCCTTCTCTTCCGGTAAGAGGCGACGCACAATTGGATGGTCGACTAACTTTTCACACAAGTCATGATTATACAAACCACACATGACATTAAATATCCATTTATTGTTTGCCAACATATAACCACACAACTTAAACGGACACTCACATTTTTTTGAATCAGTGTTGTCTCGATTAAAATTCTTAATAAGAGGTTTATATTTTTCGATTCTTTCGCACATCATTGTCACAAAAGTACATCTTCTATCCGAACCATTATGTGATTACGAATTTCAAAGTCTTGCTCATTTCTAAATTGGTTGCGAACATCTACAGTCTTCACAATGACACCTTTAATATCCGAAGACGTGACATTTTTGGGAAAAACATTAGAGTGCATCATATCTAATGAAAACAATTACCACAAAATAGTAAATAAGTCCTAACTCTGTAAAGAGAGATGAAAAATGAACACAGACTGATACCAGAAATGCATTTTCGGATGAGTTCATACTCGTTTCGAAAATGTATCTCCGGAAATAATACACGGGTTTCAGACAGACAAGCTTAATGTGAGAAATGAGACTTAAAATAAATCATCTTTACTTGAAATTCCAATTTCTTTTACTCCCTTTGATGTGATGAAACACAAGATTAAAGCTTTGGAGTGAAATTGTGGATTGAGAATGGAAAGATTTTTGATGAGGGTTTTGAGTGAAAAACAAGTATGGTTGTGTGATCATGCAGATATGTGTTTTATCAAATTATTTCGAAGATGCATTTCCGAAAATATCTAACATGCATAGGTGATAACAAATTTCAAAATTCCGCTCTAAAGTTTCGAAGATGCA